TTTTTAGTGGGTAGGGAGTACCGAGTTGGTAATTAGACTTGGTACTCGAGTCCCACATAACTCACCGGACCGAGCGGTGAGTATGCATAAAATGCATTTTCCCCTCGTAAAAAAAAAAAAAAAAAAAAAAAAAAACCCAACAACGGTTAAGTGAGCGAATGAGAGAGACAGAGAGTGAGAGTGAGAGTGAGAGAGAGAGAGAGAGAGAGAGAGAGAGAGAGAATGTATGTATTCGCATGTATGTCCGTGCGTATAGCGACCAGCTGATCGCGTGAGCGCCCGCGTCTGACGATCAGTTGCGCCGCCCTTGCATGCCTCTTGTATCCGACCCGTAATAAGCAAAATGTTTCTCTTAATAATTCAAAAACTATGCTTTGCACGAAATTTTGTCAAAGGAAAAATCGTCTTAGAATTCGATCAAGATTATGTTTTTGCAAAAACATAAGGTTATTTAGAATCACCCTGTATATATATATATAAATTATTGGTAAATATCTAGAAGAATGGCAATCTCATCAATGACTTTGACATTGACATATGTTGTTAAGGTCATTACCCTAAGTAGTCTCCAAAAAATTTTAGTTGGGTAGGCGGTCATTGTTTATTAAAAAATTGCACAGGCCTGCGAAATTTGAGCTTTTATCAGTTACGTAAAACAGAGTAGGTGAATTTGATAGATTTTGTGACGCTGAAAACGAATCTGGCCGCAGAATTTCTCCAGCACGTCAGGTTCCTGAGTAATTCAGATTTGAATGATTTATTGGATCCCTGTGCATTACCGGTCTTATAACTTGTATATCTGAATGAAAAAAAATCGTACGGCGGTAATCGAAAGTGGATTTGAAAGGTGAAAGTGAGTGCTATACGATGCCGTTAGTAGAAATATTTTTAAAAAAATTTGATTTTCCTATAATAAATTCATTAAATTGGTCATAAAATAGCGATTTTTGGGCCATTCAACTCAAATTACTCAAAAACTTGGTTTGCTGAGAAAATTCTGGCCAGATTCGTTTTCAGCGTCACAAAATCTATTAGATTCACCCACTCTGCTCCGTGTAATTAAATCTCGCAGGCTTGTGTTATTAACAATTAAATTGTATAGTAAAAATATGCATTAAATGTGAAGAATATCGCATACATCAGATACGGGTTAGGTTAAATTAAGTTAGGTTCGTGGCTGCCACGCTGCCACGCATCTGCTATGCAAATGACACACTCGCAGATGACGTGGTAGCTATGGGGGACAATTGGCGGAACAGCGTGGAATAGCCAGGATGGGAACAGCGGTGGCACGCATTGTGCAAGGAATGGAGACAGTGCACTTGGACACAGTACAATTGGACACGTCCAAATGGACACATTACAAATGGACACAAAACTTTGCACACGGTTCAATTGGGCATCGTTCATTTGCACACCGTTTACTTGGAAATATGTTATAGAAACGAAAAAATATAATCAGCTATCTTATTGTGTTTTATAATTGTAAATATCTAAATGTTTGTGGGTGCAGGCGGGAAGGGACGTGCTCCGTCTCCCCTCCCTCTCTTTCATAAAATCTACTATAAAAACAAATATATATACTGAAAATATCGACAAGATTAAAAACGAAACTTTTACGCAAGATAGGACGCTTTTATTTCCGATTCATAATACTCTCCCTTGCGTAGGGGCCTCGCTAATCTTTTCAGTATCTATCATTTTTAGTATAATATAGACTCATCAAGTATTTAGTAAGGCGAAGATTTATGAAATAAAATTCTGAAAAATAAATTATGCAACAAAAATCCTCTCATACCTCCCTCTCCATCTGCGCCCATACTACAAACACGTAAATATTTACAATTATAAAGTACAATAAGATAGTTTATATTTTTTCAAGTAAACTATTCGCCTTTGTAACATATCCAAGTAAACGGTGTGCAATTGAGCGCTGTACAACTAAACGATGTGCAAACGAACGGTGCGCAACTGAATGGTGTGCAAATGAACGATGTGCAAATAAACGGTGCGCATCTTTCTGTGTAGAAATGAAAGGTGTGTAAACGAACAGTGTGCAAATAAACAGTGCGCATCTTTCTGTATATAAATAAACGGTGTGCAAACGAATGGTACACAACGGAACGGTGTGCATATAAAGAGTCCGTATATTTCTGTGTCCAAATAAACGATGTGCAGCTGAACGGTGTGCAAATAAACAGTGCATATATTTCTGTGTCCAAATGGACGATGTGCAACTGAACGGTATGCAAATAAGCAGTGCACATATTTGTGTCCAAATGAACGGTATGAAATTAAACGGTACTGAACGGTGCCCAATTAAACCGTGTACAAAGTTTTGTGTCCATTTGTAATGTATCCATTTGCAACGTGTCCAATTGTACTATGTCCAAGTGAAAGCCACTCACAAGGAATCACTGATATGGGACTCAAAGTGGTGACACAGAAAACCGAGGCCATTTACTTCTATGGAAAAGTCTCTGGGGTGCCACCATCGACCCATATCAGTGTAGGAGATATTTAATTCCGTCTCCTACCTCCATCCTGGTAGGAGACCGAATTAAATACCTCCGTCTTTTACTGGACGGCAAATGGACGTTTGGACATCATTTTGATGCCCTCGCCTCAGGGTAGAGAGAGTTTCGGCGGCGTTAAATCGACTCCTCCCTAGTTTTGGGGGTCCGGATGGTCAAGTGCGCCGGATGTACACGCACCGACAGGAGTGGTGTCTCGGTATGTGTGAACGGCTGACATACGCACACACGCAAAGCGCGCACGTAACCAAGAATTTATTACTTCATTAAATTTTATCTTTTTATATAATTTAATTATTATTCAATTTAATAAAATGAATGCCGACCTTTAGTGCACGCGATTAAGTCGCATTTCTTAAAGAAAGAAAAGAAAAAAATGCATGTCGATACAAGAACGCACGACACACGTATAGAAACAGCGCGGTGTCCGCGTATATAGCTATCGTTCGAAGGTCGAGCGAGATAGACGGCTATCGGACACCTCTAACTCGGTATCACATCTTATAGTACTTTCTCTCTCGCTCTTGCGCCGTGCGCGAAGGACGCAACATCGGAATGTCCCCCACTCCATCCGCATTTTCTCTCTCTTTTTGCCCGCGTACATTGCGCTTCGCTGGTGTAAGTGTAACATCAGTGAGCGTCACACAAGCATACCGGGACACCATCCTGCCGGTGCGTGTACATGACCACCGTAAATTCGGTGGCGCTGTACGGCGCACTCGTGTGGGCAGACTGGCGGCCAGGAGCTGTGCGAAAGATAAATTTCGTCGCATCCAGCGTAGCATGGCCGCCAGGATCATTAGAGTCTACAGGACGGTGTTACACGCCGCGAATGGTCGCTCGTGGAATTTCTTGCCGCAATGTACGCGGAAAATACCACAGAGAGCGAGAAATCCGGGACAGCACGAAAAGACAGCTGCCAAGAGCCAAGAAGATCATTCGGATCTAAGCCCGGTAGTCACTATTAGAGAGATAGAATACCCATCTCTCAGAGCATTGCGGGTCTTTGGACTTTCGGGGCCGTCCGGCCCTATCTATCGGAGTAGGTAGACAGGGGGAGGTAACATACTGGCTGACGCAGGTACTGACGAGGCACGGATGTTTCGGGCAGTACCTGCGTCGCATAGACTGAGAATGTACCACGCCGTGTCACCACTGCAAGAAGGCATGCGACACCGCACAACACACTCTCGCCGAGTGTGGAGCGAACAACGCCGGGCGAGAGTAATGGGAGGAGAGCTCTCGCTGCCGATCTTAGTCACCCGTATGGCCGGCAGCGAAGAGGCATGGAAGGCCGTCGTCACCTATTGCGAAGAAATAATGCTAAAGGAGTCGGCGGAGAGCGCCGTCAAGAAGCAGCAGTAGCAGAGGCGGCGGTGGCGATCGCGGATAGATGGGATGAGATGGAAAAATCGGAGGAGGTAGACAACGGAGGTGGCGCACTAACCCCTCTCTCCCCTCTGGTCCCTGTTCAAAGGAGCAGGAAAATATGAGCACATGCGAGGGGGATCTTATCCCCCCACTGAGGAGATGAGATCAAGAGGGAAATACACAATAATGTGGCGATTACTCCACAAAAATACCTCTCCCCTTACCCCCCGCGCGCATATAAACAAACGGGACGGCGAGGAGTAGGACAGGGGGTAATTCCCTCCCTCTCTTCACGGCGCCAATTCGGCGTCGGATAAAGCGAAGGAGCCAAGGATCCCTCAGGCCCAGATGAACGGAGAAAGCTGAAAGAAGTTATTCCCTTCGTTCGGATAGCATGGGTGCGACTCCTTCTGGACCTGGTCATCAGGCGGGGGCTCAAAGTGACTGAGCAAAGTCCACGAGAAGGTGGGCAGACGGCGTGGCCCCATCCACCCATAGTAAGGAAGAAGGGGAGGGAATCAACCGCCCTCCCCCGGGAAGGAGACCCGACGGCAAACATAAGGCCGCCGGGTCCTAAGCGAGGAAGGGAGCAACAGTCGGGAATGCCAATGTATTGTATCAGCGAATCCTGGGTCCCCGCCTGCTCTTCCACTGCAAAGGCCATCGCAGGAGTTTTAATTGATATACGGGCAATCATAGCCCGGAGTCCAACATAACTCTCGTCTCTCCCCCGAGAGCGAGGGTATGCATAAAGTAATTCTCCTGCGACAAAAAATGTTAAGTTAAGTTAATTTTTTGAAGTGCAGGGGAAGGAATCTTATAACCGTATCTGAGGTATGTATAATATTCTTCGCATTTAACACATGTTTGTACTATACAATTTAATTGTTAATAACTTTTCAACACGTACGAGTATACTCGTAGTTGGCAGCAAACGTGTTAATAAACATTGACCGCCAACTAAAACTTTTTGGAGGTTATTCGGAGTAATGACCTTGACAACATATCAAAGTCATTGGTGAGACAGTTCTTTTAGATATTTATCAAATTATTTTCTGTTTGGTTAAGGAAATTGTTTCTTAGTTATTTATTTACCTAGGAAAATGATTCACTTTTTGATAAGGCAGTAAATTCCGCAAAATATCTGGCTTAGGATGGTTTCCCATCCATAATATATTAAAATCCATATCATTCATAGATACCTGAAAACAAAAACATTAAGAGAAATTTTTATTCGTAAAATAATGAAGGAATTTTATTTATTATCATTCTAATGATTCTAATCGATTCTATAAAATGTAAAATTCTAATAATTCCGTTAGACTTTGAAGAATGTTCAACTATTGAATTTTTTTGTAATGTGTAGATTAAAAGATAAAACTAGGATAATTGTTTGAATTAAATTTCAACTCTTCGCTAGTTATAGATGGTAATAGAAGAATACGTTGGTATAAAAATTAAATTTAAACTCTTTTTTCGCTGATGTAGATGTTAAAACTGAGTATATAGCAGTATGGAGTAGTATACTAATTCAATTATACAGGCTCCTCCAAAAGTTCGGGAACAGAAAATTCCGGAACATTAAATATTTAATATTCCATACAATAACATTAAATATTTAAAAAACGTTTTTGATAAAAGTTTAAAAATTTTAAAAGTTTCATTGAATGGTCATATTTGTTTGACTTTTCTGGAGAGGAGTATAATTGTTAATTGCAAATAACATATTTTTTCTTAGAAACAAGTATGTATTTTCTTTACACCAATTGATTTCTCTCATTATTTTGTGCATAAAAGTATAGATAATAAAGAATTAATATTTTATTAGATATTTTATGGTTTATGTAAAATTAAGAAATTATTTCAAGCTTCATAATTTGAAAAGTACTCATTAAAAAATATTTTATTATAGCGTTTTGGGAAAGCTCTCGAGCTAAACTACAAGAATATGTAATAAAAAGTAGGGATTTCCGTTTAAAATTTTTATGTTGACCATGACCAGGCTTTTCAAATCATACCAACATCCAGATATTATCATCACAATAGATATTTTAAAGCCCTATTCTTTTTGTTTGAAACATTTTTCCAATAAATCAATCATTTCCAGGATTTTTAACCGTTGCAGAACTTTTTGCCAAATAAAAAGCATATAGGGTGTTCTATTTAAAAAATTGGAGGTTACTTTCACGTGACCTTTAAGTGGCTCTTTAAGGTCAAACTAATGGCACCATCTTCTATCCTCCTTGAAATCATACAACTTTTGTCTAAAACATTTTCCTCTAAATTGTTAATTCTCTAATTTGTTTCTGAGATATAAATTTGTAACACTTTACGTGGGCCACCCTTTCAAACTTTTAAAATGGGACACCCTATATATATATATATATATCTATATATATATATATATATATATATATATATATAGGGTGTCCCATTTTAAAAGTTCCACCCTTATAACTTTTTTAATTTTGATTGTAGAAAAAAATGTTTTAGACAAAAGTTGTATGGCTTGAAGAGGAACATAAGGTGGTGTCATTAGTTTGACATTGAAGAGTCACCTGAAGGTCACGTGAAGGTCACATCCAACTTTTTAAACGGGACACCATATATGCTTTTTCATATTCTTATAATTTTCGAGAGCTTTCCAAAACACTATAATTATAATATATAATTATAATATATAATTAAGTTAGTTTTCATTAAGTACTTTCCGAGTTATGAGGCTTGAAATCATTTCTTAATTTTACATAAACCGTAAAATATCTAGTAAAATATTCATTTTTCGATTATCCTATTTTAATACTTTTATGTACAAAATAATGAGAGGAATCAATTGATGTAAAACAAACACAGTTGTTTTTAAGAAAAAATATGTAATTTGCAATTAACAGTTATTGTACAGTAATTTGCAATATGTAATTTGCAATTAACAGTTACAATTATTTTTTTAAAACAACTATATTTTTTCTTTACACCAATTGATTCCTCTCATTATTTTGTACATACATAATACAAAAGTAATAAGGTCTTCTCATTAGTTTGCACATACATAATACAAAAGTATTACGATAGCGTTACGTGTAAGAAAAGGATAGCGCTAAGTGTGTGAAGACGACAGTGCGACAAGGATGGCATCAACGTGCGACAAGGATGGCGTCAACGTGGGACAAGGACGACGCATTGTAAGATGGCGCATAGGTGGGAAAAGGACGACGCAAAGGTAAGTGAGTGATAGCGACGAGCATATGAAAGAGAGAGAGAACGATAATATCGCGAGAACAACGCATACGAGAGAGAACAATATTGCGAGAACAACGCGTGCGAGAAAGAATAATAGCGCGAAAATAACGCGTATGACAGAGAGAACCATATCGCGAACAACGCGCACGAGAAAGAACAATAATATCGGAAGAACAACGCGCGAGAGAGAGCGCAACGAAGATATCACGAGACTTACAACTAGCGCGCGAGAGAGAGATAGCGCAAGAGATGGAAATGCAAGGAGAGGCGTGTAAATAAATATAATTTTTTTACAATTAAAAATATAAAATTTATTAAAGCGTAATAATACATTTGCTCTGTGTGTGTGTGTGTGTGTGTGTGTGTGTGTGTGTGTGTGTGTGTGTGTGTGTGTGTGTGAATGCTTAATAATAATAATAATAACAATAATAATAATAATATAATATGAAAATATAAAATTTAATGTAAAAAAAATATATATAGGAGTGGTGATGCGCCGAGCTAAGGGGAGATAAATCGCTCCTGAAATAGAAAAAAGACATACATTTCATTATTTTTATATTTTAATAATTTAAATTAAATTGTAAGTTACTTACAATATTATCCATGGTTCATCGTTATACAATACGCCCAATTTATATTTTGATACAGGTTTAGATTCATATATCTATTTATCCTCTCGTCGACTATTCATATACTCTCGTAAACTTTAAAATCATACATAATAATTTTAAGTGTTTTAAATTTATTACACATCGATAAAAATATTTTACCTTCAACGTTTCTAAGTTCCGTGCTATATTCTCATGTTCATCTTCTCTCAGTTTTTCAAAATCTTTTATTAATTCGAGATTTTCACGCAGTTTGTTTCCAATACATTTTACTTTAGAATGATTAGGTTCTATATTGAAACATGTACATCCATATTTTACAAATTCTCGCGCACATATTTCTCGAGTTAGGAGAAATGTTCTCAACAAATTTGTGCGGGGGTTTTCAAGCCGATCTTGATGTCTTATAAATTGAACGATTAAAATTTCCAGATTCTTCTTTGAAAGTTGTTCCCGCTTTATTCGAAGTAATTCTTCTTGACTAATCCGAAAACGGAAATCAAGTTCCTCATCGGATGATTTCTCTCCCATTTTTCTCTCCATCTCATCCATTTCTCTCTCCTCTCTCTCTCTTCTCAATCTCTGCCACATCTGCATTCATCCAATTATCATCATCATCCGTTTCTGAACGTCATCATCGTTGATGATAATAACGTTTTCTTCAGCCATTATACGTGACCAACAAAACACAAGACCAACGAAACATAGAAGGATAACGAAAGAAATAATATTCTAATGTCGCAGACTCCTCTTTATTATATATCTTTTAATATCTTTTGTCTCATTCTAACTAGAGCATCACGTCTCATCTACCTCAGCATTTCCTCTTTGGTAGAGCGTGTTGAGAAAAGTATCAACTATTCTTATTTGTATGGAAGGAAAGAAATAAAATCACAGATGGAATAAAAATAATTATTTATTGCACTCATCGTAAAGAATATCATTTACAGCGTATGTTAATTCGCAATCAATTAATGATTCACTGTTAAAGACTCTCGCGTATCGTTTTTACAGCATCGCATATAGTAATAATATTGTTACGTTGTAATACAGTTTCAAATTGTTTAAATTTTTCATTAATGAGATAGGTATTCTCACATAATCAATTGTACATATGATTAATACAATTTTCAAAATTAAATAAATGTAATAATGTTTGTGGTTTCATATACAAAATCTTTTCGCATAATGTGAGTTTTACAATTTTCGATTAATGCATTTCGATCGTTAAATCCCCCCATTCTTTAATGGGGGAGCAGTCGATTAGAAAACAATCAATGTCTGCTTGCTTCTGCATCAACAAATTCCACATTGAAAAAGGCAACAATATTTGATTACCTTGATTATCGCCAAGAATCAGCTCCACGTATGATATAGCTTCAATGCGTATGATATAGCTTATTCCAATGTCCAAATACTTATATGACGTCAGGATTAGAGCGAACCTTCTTCCAAGTATGCGAGCCGCATGACGAAGCTGAATGCTATAAAAATATAAATAATTAGACCAAATATTAAAAAATTAATAAATAACAAAATTTTTTAAATAATCAAATCTTACGCGTTGCATTTTTGCTTCTTACACGCTTTTTGCTTCTTAGAGTTTCGCTGTTTCGAATCGGAACGTAAAAGTTCATGCTGATTTCTTCAGTAAATCTTTTACACGCGCGATTGATGCAATCGTGTTAGAATTATTGTTAATTCAAACAGTATTGCAAATTGCGATGTAGAGGGGATTATTATATATATTGCTGATGCAACATTTTAATTTCCTCTAAAATTTTGTCGCGCCGATGTACGGCTGCGATGATATTATCATCCTCAGAACAAAGATTTAGCTAAATATAACAAAAATTTTCAAGCGCCGATGTACGACTGCTCCTGATGCAATCACGTTAGATTTTTCAAATGTACGTGACAAAATGCGAAAAAAAATAATCGCTAAGATTAAAATGCACATCACCTCTAGACAAAGATTTAGCTGAATGTGCTAAAATCGAGCGCCGATGTACGGTTGCTCCTGATGCAATCACGTTAGATTTTTCAAATGTACGTGACAAAACGCGAAATTATCCAGATTAAATTGCACGCATTCCGGGGAATTTTTTTAAGATAAAATCATTCTAGAATCATTCTTGTTTGATAATAAAACAATGCATGAGACGATGTATAAATCACGATAAAGAGGCACACTTCACCAATATTTTCGCTAAAGTACATCAGAACAGTCTTTGGAAAGCGCTTTTCACAAGTCTGTTACAATATAGAGAAACAAAATTTGCGAGAACAGTCCACTTTGATGAATTCGCTGGAAGACTACATTGTGTGGAAACAACGATGCGACCAATACA